ACTTGATGTAAATGTATTACGACGCGCTGTCATTGTGACTTACTTACTGAGGTAGTTCTTTACAGACATTTCTCATCTAATGAGGATATGATTTGAACACATGTGCTGCGTAAGATGTTTCTGAAGAGCAAGTTGTGCATCCATACGCCCATGTCACCTCTCTTTTTGAGGAACTATTTTACTCCGCGATATAGCTGGTTGTTGTATGGCTGTCAGCGTAAACATGAAGTCACACGTACTAAATAAAATTGTGTTACGATCTTGGTCTACATCCTTTGAGGTAAGAAATTGTGATAGAAAATTATAAGAATTGACTTTCACTTTGTGTGAGTTCATTGGAGTATGAACCTTCATAGAGTGGGGGCCAAACATTGTATAGTTGTATAGTTTGGCCCTCAGTCTATGAAGGTTCATACTACAATAAACTCACACAAAGTGAAGGTCAATTCTTAAGTATACATTCCATTTATGACATGGTCATCTTCATGTAAACATTCTCAATATAATCGCCATCTTCATGTCAACATCAGGTTTATTCATTACGAATTCACAGATCGATGAGTGATCGAGGGTTGTATTATTTTCAGACAGGGGCAGCATACTTAGAAGCCCAGAATACACGATTAAAAACATTTCAAAACAACAACAAAATCATTGGAAACCAATGAAATGGACAGTGGGAAATGTTCTTGATTTGTTTGTTTGTTAGTTGTTTAACGCCGCACTCAGCAATAAATCGACTTGACAGCCCAGTGACAAACATCATGAACACCGATCCACGGAATGTATCGACATTCAGTCAGCCAAGTCACTGAGCCTGACCACCCAACCTATTTAGTTGTCTCTCACGACACGCTCCTGTTGCTGGGGATCTATATTCTTACCCTGAATCGCCACGAGTAATCTCCACAAGTGCTGTGCTAGATACTATGAGATAGTGTCAAATAAAGTAACTTTGGTACAACCTCGCTAGGCCCGTCCTACATACAAAATATCTAAAACATAACGTTGCATAAACTAAATTTGTGAGTCATTACATGTTTATTCCAATGACATTTTAGTTAATTAATGATGAATCTTACATCTTCAGGTTATGACTGAAGTCAACCCTTGTTAATCCAGGAGATTACCCAATCAAGGCAACTTGATTAATATTTCCCCGCATATCATCCTGCACACATGCACACGTTTGTTAGAGTTAGCGTTTCCAAGTTAACGATTTTTCAATTAACAAAAATTAACAAAACATTATATTTCATATAACGATAAAGATATTTGCCATCCCACGCACGTGGGATCAAAGCGTTCTCTATCGTACTTCCTACACAGTGAAACCTCGTTAATCAGGACGGTACTTTCTCTGTGACATCGTCGAGGAGAAAGTGTGATGTATAGCACCTATACAAAACATGAACAACATGTAAAGAATAACAAATATCATTTGGGGGTAATACAGAACAAATTCCAAACAAAACCCCAAATACCACCAAGTGGAAGAACAAGTTTTTAACTTAAGTAAAATTCTTGTTATTATTAGAGTCAAAATGTGATTGCTTCATTAAGTTGTCTTGCCAAGTTATTGTCAGTGATGCAGACATAGCGTTCATAGGACGATGAGCGCCAGTCACCTCTGAGCTTAATAAGAGTGTTAGACTCCCCTACTTCGAAAGCAAATAAGCAACCTCCACTCCGAAAAGAGGGACAACTGTAATCACTTGACTTGTAACCACACAAGAACTGGTGACAATTCAAGGTCCAATCAAAACCATTGTATGTTAAGCACTTGGCCCAACCACCAGCATTCATATCGGAGAACAAGGGGACTGCTGCCTTCTGTATAGCAGCACAATACTGGTCAATGCAAGGCTGACACAGGACACAGTCTGATGTTTGAAACAGCTGCCAGAGGTAAACGAAGCACACGTTGTCCAAACTGTCAGGCTTTTGTAGATGTGTGTCGAACAGTCACCGTAGTCAATTCCCCTGCTGTGGAAAATAACATCTTTCATCAACAGATAGGTCTTCTTTCTGGAACTTACGCCACTGGCTGATTCAGGAAGCATAGTAAGACTTGTCTAAATTGATTTCTCTTCTAAGTTATCCAAGGGGTTCTGCAATCCAAATTCGAGGTGTGAAAGTCTCAGTACCTTCAGATATCCTGGAATACTTGAGGTACAAAGGGATCCTGCTAAAATGCTGTGAACAGCAATATTGTACTCATATTTGCAAACACTGGCGTACACCCAAATAGAAACAGAATCATACCTAAGCATTATTCATAGATGGATAGGTCTTTTTTGTAGTCTCAGCATATGTTGCTCGTTTAAACTGTCGGTGTTCTGTTTGTAGCATACGCCACTGTTGTGCCACTGATTCTGCCAATATATTGAAATAATATCAGTCATGTGGTTCACAGTGCTTATCACAATGGACCTCTGCATGTGAAGTTATTAGTAGCATACATAGTAAACACGTTGTCTTATGTACAACAATCCGCTCTCCTTTTGCTGCACCACCGTTTAGCTGACAGATGGACGATAAAGATTTCTTTAACATTGATATGTGATCAGTTAACTTCTGGAAAATCCAAATTTCGGTTGCGATAGATCCTGTCCGTTCCATAACGTGCTGCGCTACCCTCTTGACATGCATCTGAGGTCCATTTTTTCTTTGAAATTAAAAGGACTTCATGATGTCTGCCTACTCACTCTTATTGAGTCTTACATGACGACTGCGCCTTTTTCGGGTGTTTATTAAATTAATCAGTCTGAAAAAGAAGGCTCGTCCACCATGAACCATCCATGCAACCCAATTAAGTTCACGTTTTTTTCTTTTTGCTGACCCAATTTGCCAAATGTCCTTTAACCTCCTCCAAAGCCTGGGATTTAGGCTGTACCACTTGTTCTGTCAATTTCAATGCCAAGAAAACCAAGCTTTTGACAAGGCCGCACTGTCTTATCAGCAATAATGCATTGAACTACTGAGATTTTTTGTCCCCAATCACTGGAAAGTCATCAGGATACACAACCACTATGAAACCTCTGTGTTCCATCATTATTCTGACCGAAGAAGAAAGTCTGTGGAATATATCTGGTCTGTTAGATGTCCCCAAAGGAAACCTTGTATCCACCATATAGGTTGGAATATTAGCGTTCTTGAAACACGGTTTCAATCCATTTGCTTCATAACTGGTTTCTAATGTCTATCTAGGGCGGGTTGGGTAGTCCAGTAGTTAAAACGTTTGGTCGTCACTCAGAAGACCCAGATTCGATCCCCACATGGGTACAGTGTCTGAAGCCCATTTCTACTGTCCACCACCATGATATTGCTAGAATATTGCTAAAAGCTGCGTAAAACCACCAGTCAATCAGTCACTGTAATGTCTATCCTTGCCATAAAACTTTTTGGCAACAATTTAACAGCAGCATCGATTTCTTGATGTTGGTATTTTTGCGTTGATCAAAACAATCACGAATCAGTCTCACATTCCTGAACCTTTTGTAATAGCACCAAGGCAGCTAGGGTTCTAATACACCGCTACCTAACCCCAAGCTTCATTTCTGAAGTGATGATTTGAACTTCAACCAATTGTGCATTCTCATGATCAGAAGCAGATTGGTAATATTTAAAATAACTTTCAATATCTCAATAGTCTCAATGCTCTGGTTCAAATAATCACTGTTTTTTTGTGCTTGCTGATGACGATGTGAGTTGTCAAGCAGCATCACCGATGGTAGAAAGAAGATCTGGCAAAGATCCCTTATCTCTGCTGTATATTCCAAATGCTCTTTAATTTCTGTAATTTCTGCGTCACCTTAATCCATAAGCTTTTGAAGTAGATGAGCATTTGCAGATACCGATTGCGTTAACTTGACCTGTTCTGGTAAAGGCTTCATCTTAGATGTTCGTAGATACAATTGTTGACAACCCTCGATTTTGAGTTTCGTCACTGACGACCTAGGCTTTGTGACGAAATAAGGGGCCTCTCACCTTCAACTTTTCGTCCTCCTTCATCTTGGTCGAGGAGGCCATCCATGGAACTTCGGCCGAGACACTTCTACAAATGCACATCGGATAGTCCTTTAGATCATTCAGCTCTTTGTTAGGCGCAAGTGTTTTCGTATTGATAGGAGCAGCAGCTTTCATTTCAGTTAATACCTGCATAGTCTTCAACAATGCGTGTGTCGCTACTTGAAACTCATTTATGGCATTGCTACTCCAAAGGAAATTATAGGTCCATAACATCCTCAAGAGACAACGGCTTAATTCCACACAATTCTTCATCCTCAAATAGCTGTGTCGTTTTACTGTTGAGTTCCCGATCGTGAAACCATTTCACCATATCTAAAACCGATACTGATCACCATTAAGTTTTCCGCAAAAGGGCCTTAACCCAACGTGAGTAATGTAACAGTACTGTCCATATTTGCTGTACTGTTCGTAACAAGGAGTGTCCGGATTAACTGAGACCAGTACTGTTTGCTAGTTTTTTAACGCTGCACTAAGCTTCATATTTCAGCTATTAATATGACGGCGGCCTGTAAGTAATCTAGTCTGGACCAGACATTTCAGTGATTGACATCTCACACAATTGCGAGATATGATGTCACATATGATGACATGCAATCAAACAAGTTACTGAGCTTGACTACCCGATCCATTAAGTCGACCCTTTAGACAAGCATACGTTAAAGTGTACATCTTTCTTACCCGAAACACTAAAAGGGAGAGAACTATACGCTGCCGCGGACCTATATTCTAACCCGCAGTCCCCACAGGGAGACAAGCATAGGTTTTTGGGGACCTATATTCTGACCCGCAGTCGCCACAGGGAGACAAGCATAGGTTTTTGGGGACCTATATTCTGACCCGGAATGAAGTTTTAAAGTCCCTAAAGACGAACCTACAATAGGCGTAACGCCTCAGTTGCTTTGTGGAATGTGAGTCTTAACAATTATTATTTGGTATCATACATTATTACATATATTTCCATGATTTAGGTTCGCCTACCGAAGAAAGATGTAATAGAGAAAATGTCCATCAGTGAAGCATTCAAAACGTACCACAGGTAGGTGTACTTGGTGGATACAGTAACAAAAATGGACATATTATCATGAGTTAACGTACACACTTGTGTAATATTCTTGACTACTGTGGACAGAAATCAGTACAATATTCTTGCAATGAAAGTGAATTAGTGAGTGAGTTTGGTGTTTTGCCTCTTTGAACAGTATTTCGGTTACATCACGGCGTACCAGCTTGATGTGGGAGGAAAGCCCGACATGATGCAGGTCTTAGACGTTTTACCGATTTCGTTAAATCCATGAGCAGGGGTATGACAAACCTCGAAACCTAATCAGGGAGAACCGTTGATAGTGGGTTCGAATCCCAGATTCGTACTGATAATCTTCTCAGTACCATGCCAGTGACTGTGACATAGTGTTACGGCAACTGTAATGCAACACCACAATTATTTACAGAGGTGAGTCCTTCAATGTGCAAACGGTGGTCTAACATATATCGTTGGTGCAAATCATGACGTTGATGCTGATAAGAACAATAATTTTATAAGGGCTTCAACAAATATCATGATTACGCCTTTGTCTATATCTCGCTCATGGGTGCAATTTGTGTTAATCAGGCTCAATAAAAGTCAAGTTTGCGAAATTCTTGGGCACTAATTGATACAATAGTTCTTTGCCCAGCAATATTCCAGTTATATTGTGTTGGCCTGTAAATAATCTGGACCGGACAATCCAGGGCTTGATCTTGCAAGCAACGATCCATGCCTTCGGGGTCCGATTGCACACATTCTACCAGGATCACAGAGCCAGACCACCTACTCCATTTGGAACTTTACAGTGTGTAAAGATGTGTAACTCTTCTTGTTATTCAGTTACCTTGACAACGTAGATATGTTGTGCAAGCGAAAGCTGCGCATGGGCAAACTCGGAGACGGAGGCTGGGAGATATGTGATGACGCCGAATACCGACCAGTAAAGCCTTGCATTGTGTATTCCTTTGGGTGAGTTGTCACCTGACTGGAATATATAGTTGTCTTAGATACAGAAACAAACACCGATTACAATGGCATGTCCAACGTATGAAGCCAACGAAACACTTTGAATCGGAATCTAGGGCACTATGGTGTCCTTTTCAAATGTCAAAAAATGTTTAGTTATACAACGCGGACCCTTTAAAGATAATCTCACAAAATTCAGATCTGTTACCGCACCAGGAAACATGATAAACAGCCAATCAGCGTCGAGGCATCTAAATTATCGATTGTGTGAAAACAAACAGTTGTTCATGTAATTGTATGTAATCGAATTATCGTGTTTGTGTACTTTGAAGGGCCATCCTTCATTTTGATTGATGTATAGTATCGGAATAAATGATCTGACTTTAAAGCTATTACTTTAAACTGTTGTGCACTGCCGTGCATGTATACCCACGCCGTATTGTACCTAACTGGTTACACGATAAGACACGCATATTCTAAAACTTTTCACAGTGAAGTAATATTGTTGTTGTTTTACTGCAGAATCAACAACGATTTTTCTTTTGACGATGAAACGGCCAAAAACTATGAGTGTGACGTCTTTTCCTTTGATCCGAGGTTTGTACAGGCGCTTGTTCAAACCTACTTATACGTTATCCACTGGGTTGTTTGTTGTTTAACATCACACTCCGCCATATTCCAGCAATGTCGGCTGACTTTTTATTAATTGAGCCTTGAGAAACTAATGATTGATATTGAGCCGCCGTGGGGGTACGATGACATGCAATCAACCAAATGACCGAGCCTGATCACCCGAATCATGAAGTCGGCTCTTTAGAACAGCATATGTTGCTGAGGACCAATTCTAACCAGGAATCCCCACGGGGTAAGAACTCATAACGAGGACTGTCTGAAATGAACCAAGTTTGTCCGAACGCATTGGGTAAAGGGAAGTAACTCGATTCGTTATGTTCTTTTTTTTATTCAATACAAGTGTTTTGTTAACCCAGTGAAACTGCGTACATATATATATATATATATATATATATATATATATATATATATATACCCCCATTGAGATCGGTTGGCAACATTCATTGTAACTAAAATACCTGACGTGGGATAAAATGTTTTTCTTTTGGAACAGATCATTGTGGACAGTTTTGCCATTGAATTTGATGTCCATGTCTCTGATTACTGATGTAATATATTAATGGCACGTGCATGATATTTCAGTATGAAACAGAAAAGTTACCAGAGATCACCACGGGTGCGGTTTTTAAGTTTAGGTATTGATGGAAAGGACTACAAGAAGGGTCCCTGGAATCTTCATTCACTGACCAGTTTCAAGAAAATGTTGAACCACACAGGGGTCAGTGATACGGAAATATTATGACATTTTACATCATTAATAAGAAACCTCCACAAACTAATTTAGAACTTTTTGTTATTAATGTCTCTACTCTTGTCAATGTTCAGGCGAAATGAGGACGTTTAACTTAAATGACCCCCAATGGAAGATGAAGATTCGTATCATTCATTTGTTTGTTGCCAGACAATCCACTGATGAGTATTTACAACCCGACCCATTTAGTCGCCCCAAGTTTTATATTATGTGTGCCATAATCCGTTATTTGTGTAAAGAAATTATCTTGAGTTAACACAATTTAACCACGTATTAACATGAACGTGTTATCCCAAAGTAATTTCTGAAGAGCAGAGATAAGACAGAGAGAATGGACTCTCTAAGGACTCTTTGCGCATATTAGCAGTTCTCCCCTGGCCGTGTCATTCAAAATGACGTTACAAGATGACAGGTGTTGTTACCCTTCTTGGCGCTCGGCATGAAGGGGTAAAACATTGATGGATCGGCTCGGAGTCAGTATAATTTGCGTGGGATATCCACATTAAACTGTGGCATGGTATCCAAGTGGGCTAGCACAATAAAACATGCATACGTCAGCCACACATACACGTGCATGCATGTCGCTATAAGTGAAATAACCTTGAACACGACATTGAACCCTATTTCACATATTTTCAAACCAAAAATGTTATTAAATGTGTAAGGATAATTTGTGATACAGTAAGATCCTTCTTTTGTTTTCCAGAGATTCATTGATGTTCTCAAGATGGACGTTGAACACTCAGAATGGCCAGCGCTGCCCAACATGATCTCATCAGGGGAACTGTCTAAAGTCCGGCAGTTTCTCGTGGAGTACCACGGAAAATGTGACACTAAGAATGACTGCCGCAATAAACTGAAAATTTTGAAAGACATCTATGATAAAGGATTTAGGAAGTTTTATGTCCACAAAAATCATCAATGTGGATTTAAAAATAATTTATTTCCTGTCATAAGGACAGGTTGCTATGAAATTCATTATGTGAATATCAACATACAGTAAATGCCATATTTGATCATTTTCAAAACAACATTTCAAAGTCTGTCGCCACTTCAAAATTTCCGGATCGCCGTCATATAGCTGAGTTCAGCGTGAACAACGAACAAACAAAAGAATCAAAATTTAAACCCTCTCGTCTTTTATTCCATGTATTGCGCTAAAACGATACCTTCAGATAAGTATAACAGGACATCCTGAATCTACATGTATGTCTGTCACTGTAAAACTACATTTACTATGTGTTCAGTACTATGTCAATAAATAAAAAGACAAAACCCTTTCCATAACCACAAGAAATCTCTGTAAAAGCGGACTCGATTGTACGAGTCCGACTATATCATGAGGATGTGTTGAACTAATAATCATACCAGGTGAGCGTATTCAATACCATTCGCCCTCAAGCAAGGCTATCAACCTGTAGGTCATATAATCACAGATGACTTCTCTATTCAGTATAAGTGTTTATTCATAAAACCGAGTGGCCATAGGCCTATAGGTACATGTTGTATGGTATGGGTGTATATACATTAATAAGGTAAAACATGTGGAACTTCTTAGCGTCATAGCATGCAATATGTACATTGACAATTGTTTCGTTAGTACTACATTGTTACTTGACCTTAACGAAACAGATTTCGGTAAAATTCGGCAACGGATAAATTATCAATGAACTGATTTCTCAGTTCAGCATACAACGGATAAGGTGGTAAGAAATAGCATTCACTTTTTTCAGTGTTTAAATCACAAAAAGGACAAATTCTGAGTTCTCTTACGATCCCCATATATCTTCCCGTCTCGATAAAGAGTTCGTATGAACTACATCTGAATCAGCTTTAACAGATTCAATATTTGGGGTTAATCTAGCTTCCGATTCCTTTATTGCAAACTTCAGCTCATCAAAGTTATCTCCTGTAGGTCCAGGATTAAGTTCGATATCTTCGGAGAGATAAATAAGTGTCACAAAAGGTTGTCGCCTACATTCGAGGGTATAGTTCAGATTTCGGTATGCAAACAATGTCGATTGTTTGTATACATGTTCACAAATTTAACCATCTGAGAACAAAGAGGATGGTGGTATGATGGCCGGTAACGCCGATTACATCGATGATGCTGCAGTAGATCCCAAATACCAGATTGTAAGAAATGGTGCTGTACATAACATCAGACGGTTGTCCATGTCGATTCCTGCTGTCCACCCCGACGTCGAGGTGTAGGAGAGCACTGTCACCTGCATGTGTCTATGGATATCCCCATTTGATGACGTGACCTTTTTGACGGATATTTGCCCCAGATTTTATTGTTATATTTCGCAGGTTATTTTTAATTAACGCCCTATTGCGCAGTGTGCTCTTCAGTTGACAATAACAACCTTCGTCACATATCTAAATATGGACCAAACTTTCGCGAGCAACCTCCTACTAATTGGATTCACAACTTATGGATGTTGTCGGCATATGACAAAAAATGGTCCAAAAGAGAAGAGGAACATGTTGAATTTCTTTCGGAGTGGGTTGAGTCAGTGCGTGATGTTATTGGTAAAATGCGTAAAATTAAATAGAGGAAACGGAATTGGAATATACCCAGCCAGCTGTCATTCCAAGTTTGTAGTTGTTCCCACTGACAAGGCCTCAAATAGCATAACCATTGTATGTAAGCATCACTACATTAATTGTTTGATCAAAGAACTTGGCATAAATTACATCAAATAAAGGCCACAGTCATATAACGTCAGTATGTTGACTGGCGAAGAATTCTGCCCAAACCATGCATTTCTGATATCAACTTTTGACTTGACTCTAAAACCTGAAGACATATCCATTCCTCTTTTCTAGTGAATCCACGCAAAGAGAGATATATTGCTGGGTCCAGAAAATGTACCACCAAATCCCTGTCTCAAAGGCTAATTATAATCCTTAGTACAATCAAGGAAGAACTTTCTTTAGATTGAAATACAGTATTTGACGCAAGTGGAATTAATACCATGTGGATTCCTAAAACCACAAGGGATTTTCTTGTCACAGAAATGAACCAGTTCCATTTTGTCAAAACATATGATTTTTCAACTTTGCACACCACCATCCCACATGCCAAACTTTAGGAAAAACGTCATTCCTTGATTGATAGGGCTTTTGTTATAGTTACGTATCTATATTCAGAGATTCGGGACAATTTTGTCAAAAATGAAAGCAAATGCTATCTACAGTTTACTGAGAAAACAATTTGTGAAATGCTGGACTTCATCATTGATAACATATATGTAAAACTTGGAAGTCCCCAAGGGCACCAACTGTGCTCTCCTTCTTGCGTATCTGTCTCTTTATGGATATGAATAGGAATTTCTGATCGGATTGGCAAGATCAAAGCAAGATATTTTGGCCAAGAAGTTTAACCAAAGCTTCAGGTATATCGGTGATTTGATCTCGTTCAATAACAATCACTTAGCCAATTCCCTTCCATTGATTTACCTGACCTGAAATAGAAATAAATGAGACCAGCGAGACCGCCTCATATGTTTCATATTTAGATCTAAGCATAAAGTTCCAGAATGATTTCAAAGAGTGCCATATGACTCTTGCACAGAAGGTGTTTGATCGAGATTACAACATTCAAGGCCTCAGTAAAGCTTTCAAAAATGTTTATTGTAGACAATTGGGGGACATTTCCAAATTTGCCGCATTAGTGGCAAACATGACGTCCAATACAATTCCCTATTTCGACTTGTACCAAATGTTCACATTAATTTTTCAGGTGAACAATTGACTTTCCTTTGCATGTGTATGTGACGGGTGCCCTCTGTGGGGCAGGATACACTCACCTTTTCGCGAAAATCTGGTATCATCACTATTTGATTGTTAATCATTAATGCTCATGTTATAGTCAGAATCGTACTATCAAATTTCTCTTGAATATTGAAAGGGTTTTGTTGCTTTTATGTCCATCCTTAAAACAGGCTTTGAATTCTTTGTGAGATGTATGTTGAGGGAATACTGAATTGTTTAATGTTATTTTGGTGGAATTTTCAATTATATAGAATTATTTATGATATAATTCAGTTCAATTGTTATTTAACTCATTGAAGGCGCTAGGCATGATCATGAATAAAATTGAATTAATTAATTAATTAATTAATCCTATTTTCGTTACTGGATGTAAGATGTGACCAGGGCACACCATATCAGGCAATACACATCATGTGTTATTTTATGTTTAACAGACAATAAATAGATATCAGGCAATCAATGAGTTTCTCTTCGACAACATGGCTACAAATCCACAAATAGGGTTATTTTGAGTTTATACCTGCACATCATTCCAACACAGTCAGGTTTTGTAATCTGCTCTTTTCTACAATGCTGAATGTTGACTAACTAGAATCTCTACTAAACTCAACGTTTATATGCACAAACTCATACAGTTCAACCTAGTTGTCTCGGATATGTCAATCTCATTAAAATCAGATCTTCAGGACATCACATTAAGGGTCACGTCAGAACGACCTTTCATCCAACCAATCAGAGTGTCGCTTACCAGATCATGAAAGTGACAGTCGGAATGTGTTTTTTAATCATGCAACCACGATATATTTAACACGGGGTATTCCGAAGGACAGTTACGGGTTTTATGATTATATCCATACAATCTAGGCCATCTCTTATCCATTCCAGCATGTTCTTCTTATCAGTTTTAAAAATTTTAATGGAGAATACGTCAAAATATGTTTTGAGGCGTAGTCGCCAGTTTGAAACTAATGTCGTAAAGCTCGAGAAAGCTACCTTCTGATTGGCCAAAGTCAGTCATTTCATTGGTCGATGAAAATTCGCGAAAGGTCGTTCTGACGTTCGTCCTCAGATCTTTGTTTTGCGGTCGTGAAAACTAAGATCTGATTTTAATGAGATTGCGGATATGTCTAATGTCCGGTTGTGTTGAATTCAGTCCGGTTCCGGCAAATTATTACACGGTTAATGGTAATACGCATATACCTGTTGGAAATATATTCAGTATCAGATAAGATGTCGGTCGTTACAAACGACAATACGAATATACCTTCCAACTAATAAAATCACTGTCAGAAAAGATGTTAGTCGTTAACAAACGACAATACGAATATACCTTCCAACTAATAAAATCACTGTCAGAAAAGATGTTGGTCGTTAACAAACGACAATACGAATATACCTTCCAACTAATAAAATAACTATCAGAAAAGATGTTGGTCGTTAACAAACGACAATACGAATATACCTTCCAACTTTCATTGTCAATATATGTGTGGCGGCAGGATCTGTCAGTGCACAGGCTACCGTTTAAGCATCTTGTGTCGCAACACCAGGTCTGTCTAGGTTATGATTGAGGGGAGGTCAAATGTGGTTAAACGCCTCGTTTAAGATTATTTTACTCATGTAGGGGCGAATATGCACGTGTGTGTGTGTGTGTGGGGGGGGGGGGGGGGGGTGCTTGTGCTAGCCCTGACTACCGTCGGTTTTATAGTGCTAGCCAATGAGATAAAGTTTAACATGGCTACTTTACTCAGGCACATTATACGGAGTCCGAACCGAGCAGTCCTTGTGTAGTCCCTCTAATGCCGAGTGCCAGGCATGGTTACAACAAGTGCCTTCTTTAAACGTCCCTTGGTATGGCGTGACCAGGTGACCGAACAACGGACCTTCCGCTCTCCGGGCAGGCGCTCTATCCACTTGACCAAGGCTATGGTCACTCGGGCTATGATGTAGATAGTGGATTGAGGTTGTATATCCGAGTGCTCATACTACTGCATTCGTTACACTGCCTTCATGTGTTCACGTTAAGATTGGACTCGTTACCCTCGTCTTACACACACCCGCACATATACACCCATACCCAAACCCCATATACACACCCGACCCACGCCCACATACACACTCATCACAGTTTCTCATATTTCAATGCACTCATCTTGTCTCAGGACATCTACAATAGCTTCTGTTTTCTTCAACTGGTCTATGAATTCTTCATTCTGTTTTTTCAAGAGTGTCACCCATTTCCTCCTTACCAAGCAGATTAATATCTCCCTTTTTCTTTTGGAGACCTGGTGTTACCTTTATGCCGTCAAGGGAAAGACAAACACTGGTATCACTTGTTTGCTGGGCCAAAGCTTGTGGTACCTTCTCTGATAATCCAGTTGATACTTTCCGTTGCCAGTCACCATAATATGGATCAAATTCTCGTTTCATGGCTTGAATAATATTCGCCAAGATATGCCGAAATGGCCTGGCAGGGAATCTCCCGTCAGCAGTGATCCCATACATTTCCATCCGCTTAAAATCCTGATCGCCATTACCCAATATTGTCAAAATAAGTTTCCAGAAGCATTTGGACCTAAACGAATATCGCACTTGGTTGAGGCTTGTTATTGACAGGGCCCTAACAATTATTGAATAAGTAATATAAGTCCATCAGGTGTGAAGATGTGAAGAGGTCAGGTGTGAAGAGGTCAGGTGTGAAGAGGTCACATGTGAACTTTGGGTCACCCTCTTGTGTAAGTTTGTTTTGAACTTTGTCAACGGGTTCACCAAATAATTTATATCCGTGTGGCCGGACACATATTCAGAATCAGAATAAATTTCTTCATGTTCAAATTATTTCTGTGAGCTCCCAAGCTTGTATCCTGACAAATTGTGAAATGACGATGTTAAGCATGAATCGTTTGTTTCCCCCCAATTCTTTTCTGCAGCTTCTACTTTGTTGTTTGATTTAGACGATTGATTGAAGGAATCTTTGTCCTCAGCATACATGAACTTCACTGTCACTGTCCCACTGCAGTTCCTTCCAAGGGGCGCTGTGCTCTGGTCCTGTGCTTCCACATGTAAGTCAGAAACTTCCTCTTCTGTGACGTTTAAATCCTCTTTAGCGTTAGTCTGTATTTCGACGTCCCATATTTCATGATTTCCTTACCTAAAAAGTGAAAGGTATTTTCAGTACTTGACGATAAATATATTTCAGGTATTTGTCAGAAGTATTGGAACTAAATAGAGTACCTGTCATCGCCAATTTTTCCAATTTTTTTTCTGAACCTTTCTGTGTATAAAGTTGATTGTACCATTATAATCAATAACATTGATGTTTGTAAAACTATAAATATATGCCCTTATTTCTGTCTGTGGAAACGTTTCCATCGATTCCTTTTATGACGCCAACAGACAGAAACCAATGTTCAATTTACTCATGCTTAGATATCGATTTCGAGATATATATTTAGGTTATGAAATTTGAAAAAAAAATGCTACCTTAAATATTAAAATCGTTTTGGAGGGAAGACATCACAGAAAGAGTGTGAGTAATGACCAAACTAAATGTGCATCATTTTGTTGGATATTTTTTGTGCAGAGTTGACACAACTGGGAGTGTGTTCTAAGGTGCATATCTGGCATTTTTATATTTTTCAAAACAAGGGCCTATTTTGCTCATCATTGCAGGACAAATACTTCTTTCTTCTAATAAATAGAACAACAAAGGTAAATGAGTGGCGATCACTTGAGCTATAACGGGTGTGACGATAATTCGTCCTCGGGGATAGCTGGTCGCTGACCAGGGCACATAATATAATTAACAATTGTTGTTTTGGATAAATAATTTTCATGAATTGCCATCAGACAGGACACAAGAACCTGTTACCATCTGAACTGATATATTTATCCGCCGATTCGCGACATGGAGAGATCATATCCCTAATAATAATAATATGGCATCTCGATTTACCTTGGTCCAGACTGCACATATATTTGCGATAACTGATACAAGAAAACACATCTCCCACTTAAGATGCCACATTCGGATACATATACATGTTTCTTTTTTTATCAATGCCATGGATTGTATGCATAATGGTCAAGACTTCGAGTCAGAGTAACCAAAGCAAATGACTTAGCTTGTCGCTTATTTCGCTTGCCCCTACCATGTGTGGCACAGAATTCCATGCAGGCCACCAACGCCTCTATGAGCTTCTTCTGAAATATCTCAAAATAGGTGGATGTTCCGAACGGAAGTCTCTCATTACGAAGCCTTCTATACAGGTTTGAAATGCCGTCAACATACTAGATTCCTTGTCAAGCTGTGCGTGTCAGTAGCCTGATCTTAGATACGCGTTTTTGGCCCAACTAATTAAGAGAATCTTCCAGGATTTGTAATGTCAAGTGTTCTCGACCTAAAGGCCTGATTGAGGTGTCTGAGATCAAGACAGACTCTTATTTCACCTAGAGATTTGCAGTTATTGCCACTTGACTTTCACACAGAGTGGGTCTCTCAACATGTATTACGACTCCCATCCTGGTAAGTCGAGTTTTGGCCTAACAGCAGTAGAAATCCATTTGTTGGGCATCTCTTTCTGAAACAATGTCTGGTCGAGTTTCAAAGCGCACTTCACCTTCAAAAGTATCCGGCTCACTATCAAACACTATTGTGTACGTATCTATGATGGAATTAGAGTTTGTAGATGACACAGCATATGCACAATCAACATGTCGTCATTGACCCTGACAATGTCAATTTGTTCCGATGCACTACGACCAAGGAGTGGTGCGTAATCCTCCTTGACAATAACAAATTCAAAGGAGTACTTTATGTTTATTGCATTCTTCATGACTGACAATCTGGCTTCAGCCAGACTATGTATCTCTTTGTGATCCACACTGTCAGCAGGCATTTGGCAGGAGTGATATCCGAATTATTGACATATTGTGAGGGACGATTGTTGATAGGACTTGTGTTCACTTGAAGTATGACTTCTTTATCTTTGACATTCAACTGAACTTTGATGTATTTCTCTCTGAACTGCACAGTATTGACTGAGACATCTGTTTACGTGATTTCCACAATATTCATCCATTCTTGTGAGCTATTGACCCGAACTAATTCATATCCTCGAGCAGAACTATGAATTTTTTTTGTGGCCACAGAGCTGCAAAGTGATTCTGCTAACCACATTTAGAACAAGTATTTCCCTACCCCGGCATTCATATAGGCCCGATACATGATTCCTGTCACAAAACGTGCATGGAGTCTCACTCGCTTCTGACTTAAGAGGCTGCCCTGTCGTCTTTGTGAGGAGTACAACGTTTACCATTATGTTTTGTTTATACACCCACTTTATTAACACTTTCAGTTGTCTCGGTGTTCAGTGTAGCACAGTGATGCGATGCTTTTTCAGCAGTTTTGCAAATGCCAATAACTCGTTCCAGGGTTAACTTGAGCTTCTTCGTTAAGGCCTGTTGGGTTTCCCTGTCATGGATTCTAGCACTATTCTGTCACGGAGGTCTGCAGTCTTCACAATAGTTACATTTTGTAATCAGTGTTCTGATACTTGACTGGAAGTTCTCCAAGGATTCACCTTCTTCCGACAACGTATATTAAACACATATCTCTCACCTCCCGTATGGCGAAAGAATCGAACTTAGACAGGATCTCTGTTACAGTTCTGGCTTCCCTAATGCTATTCAGCAACAATGCCAGTTGGTACTATCATCATATTGTTTGAGCTCTTTCAAAGTTTCAATGTTCGTCCACTTTTGA